GAGGCTGCATTGGCCGGGAGCGGCCACTGCACTCCAGTCTGGGTGACAGAGTGAGACTCCAACTCAAGAAACAAACAAACAAACAAACAAAAAAACAGTATCTAAGACTTTGCCCAGGTGTCTTGCTTGAAAGATCTCTTCTGAAAATTTGTCTTCACTCATAAAAATCGAAAAACTAATTTTCTAACAGCTGCTAAGTACTTAATGTTTCTACATTCAGACATACACAACTATAGATCTAAACAAAAAGTGTGCTAGGAGCATATAACCAGCAATCATTTAGAAAGTAGACAACTGAAAACATCATTTAAGGTGCTTAAGCTGAAAACTTGGCTATAATCTATAGTTCTGGATCATTCCACTGACAGTCATGGCAAGAACGGTAAATTTCTACAAATTTTTTTTGTTTTTTTGAGGTAAAAGAGGATGAGACTGAAATAGGAATGGTCTAAAGCTTAAGAAATACAAGTGTCACTCATAAGCAGAATCTGAACATTTACCATAATACTACAAGAAATGGGTTCACGGTATCAGGATGCTACAGGGGGAAGGTGGAGAACAAAACACAACATCAAGAGTACCTGATTTCAAACCAGGCAAAGTGGGGACCAAAGGGAAGCCCAAATTTTACCTGTTCAATAACCACTTGTATACCTAATCCTGAATTGTACCCCACATCTTTAAAATAAAAAAATATAAAAAATAAATAAGTACAAATGACTACATGTCAAAGACACTGCAGGTACCCAATAAACCTTGTTAAATGGGCTGGACAAGTAGAATGAGAATGTGTTTTTCTCACACCTTTAACTAGTAAGTACTTTTACATCAGAAGTTATCTTTTAAGCCATGAAAAAAAGGGTAGAATTTAGAAAAGATAAAATGAAAGCAATTTACAAAACCTCTGAAAAGAAATCAAACACATTATTTGTATCTCTGTACAAAGCTAAACTACTCAGGGATGGGCAATGTCTGGAGGATGGTGTGCTTATTACTTAACCAGCTAATACAGTTTAACGATGACATAAGACTTTCAATTTATGTTCTAATTCTGTCAATAAAGATTGCAAGTTATTTCTTTATACTCTGTTCTTGTACTTCTTTTACGTATATCACAAATATAAAAAGAATGCAAAGTATTTCTTGAAGCTATTTCCTTTTTATTTTTTGGTCATGCTTGTTAGGACTTCTGATCATCCCTAGAGTTTAATAGCAGCATTATTAATATTCTAGTCATCTCACTAAAAATTTAACAAGCAGCTCAGATTTAAAAAGCAGGATCTAATTTCAGAGCTATTTCACTATACATACCAAGACAAAATTTTCTCTCTCCTAAATTCTAAATTTTACATCATTTACCAAATAATCTCTTAAATAAGGTAGCTTACTAATTACTGCTCATTATGCCACTAGCCCAATTTATTCAACAAGATTTACTGGGTATCTATGTGTCTTTGGCATGTAACTTTCAACAATTGCATTTCTTAAACTTAAGATCATCTCTATTGCAAAGCCCCTTCCTTCTCCAAAAAATTCTGGAATAATTTGCTGCTTCTCTCAATATTGCAAGCAGTGGAATAGCCCGAAAGTATAGGCCCTATCCATATTCCTTCATGACTGAGAGTAACTTTGGACTGTAAATCCCATATACTATTAGTTTGCATTTTCAACAGTACCCTAATCATTAACAAATATAATCCCGGACAAATTTTGTACCATCTGTTTTAGCATAACTATAGAAAGTCTCAAAAAATTTAAAGACTACATTATCTTTCGAGGATCCTAAGCTTAAACTGTATTAAAATTATTTTTACAATTTTAAAGACTCAAGCACTCGATACACTGATTTCTGCCTTTAGCAACAAAAGCCTCCACACCAAGATTAGGAAAGCGTCCCTCTCATTTTCTCAACAAAAAAGGAAAAACAGGGCCAACTGCTCGCATGCAGGTCTGCATTTCACACAGCATGGCTCACGTTCAACTTCAGAAACCCCCGCGGCCAGCAACACAGGAGTAATCTGCGAACGCGACCCTCCGGTCTGACATCCCACTTCATCGGCCCTCCCTCCCCATCAATCCACCCCCAAATGCCCAACACACCACGCACACGGCTAAAGATGTCCTCCCAAGAGAGCCGAAAATCCTCGAGAACGCCGAGGAAGAGCTCCCCTTTGATGCAGGAGGGCTGCCCGCCTGGGCCCGGGCCGCCTGCTCAGCGAGCGGGCCCCGAGGAGGCCCAGCCCTGACGCCCCGCCCGGGCCGCCGGCGTCCCCTCGGGCGACAAAACCTCCCGCAG